CGGCCGGCGGGAAAGGGTTCTGAAGGAAAGGCGGAGATGCTGAGGGACAGGAGCAGGAAAGGATTCTGAAGGAAAGGCGGAGATGCTGAGGGAAAGGAGCAGGAAAGGGTTCTGAAGGAAAGGGGGAGATGCTGAGGGACAGGAGCAGGGCGAGATTCCCGTTCAGAGCCCAGAGCTTCGTGCTGTCGGTGTTTGGAGCGGGTCTGATGGCAGCTGCGTGGCACCTCCATTGTGTGCTTCCCTTTCCAGCCTAAACGATGCCTTCAGCGCTGAGGCGGGACACGGCCTGCATCGGGCTGGCCAGCACCCCGCTCTCCCTCATCGGTTCCCTTCAAACTTCTAAAAAATATTCAGGCAACATCATCATTTTGTATCTCTGTGTGTCTTCCCCAATTTCTGCATCATTTTTCCTCCTTGTGCTGCACCCCGAGAATTTCACGGACATTTTTTGCTGCAGTCAGCTCCCAGTTCCAGGACAAATCCTTTAGCAAGGACTAAACTATGAAAATTAAAACAAGTTATTTTGAAATACTTGATTACAAATGGGCCAGAGTGCTACTGTGGAGTGAATCCTTGTGGTCACATTAAAAGAACAGGGGCTGCCAACCACCTGCAAAATAAAATCTAGGTGACAGTGACACAGCACAAGGGAGAGATAAAATGTGCCAGAGGAGTGGCATGTGGGCAGCAATGGTGACAAGAGCTGCTCTATTGCTGCAAGAATTGAAAAGAAACAGCAAGCGATACCACGAGAACGTCAAATGCTGTTAAAACTGATCACCAGAAACTACGAATCAGCACTAAAAGGAGAGGATTTAGCAGCAGCAGCAGCTGGTGCAGCTGCTGAGCTGGAAGCAGTGACAGCAGTGGCACGGGAGCGGCGCGGGCAGGAGATTTGCCATCGGTGTTATCGGTGTTATCAGTGTTATCAGTGTTATCAGTGTTATCAGTGTTCTCAGTGTTATCAGAATATGTGCGGCTGCACGGCAACAGCTGGAGAGGAGCACAGGCTGTGCGGAGCATTATTGACAAGCTTTTACTGCAGAGACAGGGCTTGCCAGGAAGCTGCACATTCCTGATGCTGATCGTGTACTTGTGCAAACACGGGAAAAAGAAGAATAGCTGGAAGGAGTTYGCAACGTAACACCAGGTTTATCATGTAGAAACAGGCTGTCAGAAAGAATAGAAGAAGAACCAACAATGTGATTAAGCTTTAAACAAAGAAAAAGCAATRGAATCACAGTGCCTGCTGAAAAGCAGAATGCTCATTAGCTGTAGGGSACAACTGGGAGTAAAAGTCGTGGAGAGAAAGCAATTAATCAGAGAAAAAAAGTCATCAAGAACTTCTCAAAAGCATTAACAGTGGCCACTTTAACATGGGCTTATTCTAGAGAGGAAAAAAGACCCATAATTTGCCCAAAATGAATAGAGGGGTAAGAGAAATTACCATTTGTTCAAAAGAGAGAGAATCTGGTGCAACTGAGGGAACRTGRTGTGTCTGACACAGCCAGGCAATCAGCAACTRATTCAAACACAATCATATTTCCAAATCAACTAATGAATCAACATGGTTGTCAGCCTGCAGCAAAATCATCCTGGTGACTCTCTGGGGATGAGATGACGGGCAGAGCAAAGGTGAGAAAGGGGGTAGGGATAGCTGAAATAYATCTGATCATTTGTCCAGAAATTTACTGAATTGATTTTAAAAGAAATTAAAAACATTGAAAAGTTCTTAAGCTTGACATACCCTCCCCACAATTAAAGGTATTGCTTTTCTCAGAATATATTTTACATAAGAAGAAGGAGTTTATTGGGGTTTGAGAGTTGGTATGCTTGTATATAATTGTTCCTGTCTTCAAGAAAAGTTAATGTGAAAATATGAAAAAACAGTATTATCCTAATAGGAAACATGGCTACAAAATCCTGCATCTACTCTCCCCCTATCTTTTGAGGGAGTTGCTGTTAGCTGATGGGGAAATAAAAGGATTTTTCCTAGACCCACTAAAATTAGTAGGAGTTTTGACATTAATAGAGTTAGGGCTTAGTGAGGAATATTTCAGGGAGGAACACAGCACAGCAAAACCTGCAGTACATCCAGTCCCCAAAAAAGTACAGTACTCATGCAGTGGTCACCCAATCACTGCTTTCTGACTCGTCCTTCTCAGAAAGGATTAGTGGCTGCAGTGGTGCAATAGTTATTTCAGGATGGTTGAATAACATCGTGGCATCCAACTAATCAGATGCCTGTTGCTGATATTTGTCAGCGAGGCGTCAGATCCTCCGTCATCCCATCCAGGCTAGGAATCTCTGCCATAAATCCAGCAGCACGCTCTCGGTAGAAATTGAGAAGGTTTTCTGAGAGGAGCACTTCAGGTGGCTGGARTTGTAAAAAAAGTCCTCATTTCTCTTGTCACATTTTTTAATGCTTATCCTGTTATCAATACATGGAACATACACAGTTTTATACACACGTCTATACTCCTAAGAACAGGTAAGATCCTTCCTCCACAAACACATTTACAAATATATATTTCTTTCAGGCTTGTCCTATGTATGCACATTTTTCCTTTTCAGCAAAATCACTCTTGAGAATGCCTCACAATCTCCAAGGTGTTGTTTTAAAATGCAGAGTTCATGCTGTGGTTGTGAAAGCAGGAGATTGCTGTTATTAGCTCAAGGCAGGCACCGTGGGGAAGGTGCAATGTGCTCTGCCAATGGACATTCATCTGGATCTGCAGCATTCCTGCTATTCCAGTCCTGGGCCCTCTTGTGCCAGATTCTATAGTTTATTTGTGTACAGCTCTAGCAGAGTTCCCAGTGAAGCAGAAGTCATTGTGATAAATAACCTTTTGTGCATTTTCAGCCTTTGSTTTTTACTCTGCTGGTCGGATCTGTCTCCTCCCCGGTGCTGTTCTGAGGGAAGGGCTCAGACGTGAGGCTGACTGGCACTGCCCTAATCCCATGATTTGACATGATCTGAATGCCAAMAGCAGAGAGCCCCAAAGTTAATCATTGCTTCTGATGACTGACTCAGCCTCTCTAATCCTTTTCCATCCTCAGCCCTTGTCACCGTGCCACTTGACCTGCTTCCCCAGGGCTGCACKGTGTGTGCCACGCACTCACAGCACAGCAGCTCCATCTGAGCAGGGGAAATCATTCTGAAAG